AATGAAAATTCAGAATGTTAGTGGAATTATTCAAAGGAACTATTGTGTGTCATTCATATAATCGAATTCATGTTATCTGAGTAGTATATCTTCAGAAAAATGTCTACTTGCATCAACATTATCTCCTCAACAGACTTAGGTTAAGAATCTTCCTCAAATGGAAGATCCTTAACCTAAGTCTGTTGAGGAGATAATGTTGATGCAAGTAGACATAATTGACGCTAAAGCGACGTGTAAATTTTTTTTTGTAAATTCATTATTGTATTTAATTTGGAATTTTATGCCAAATTTACGGTGATTGAGTTTTGGTCAAAAAATGCACTAAAGACTAAAGATTTTGGTTGATTAGCAAAAAAGGCGAAGTTTACACTGAATTGTCATGCCGATAGCATTTTATCGAAATAATTATCGTAGAGCACACTAGACTAGTAATTCATATAGTATGCTTCCATAAAATTATTTCAACAGAAATGCTTCTCAGAGATTCAATTGGAATGTTCATTAGTAATGAAGTTGTTCAGAATCCGACAATTTTGTAAGCAACTTGCTTTCTGAAGTACGTGTGTTATTTCTTAACAAGAATTGAGAACTTTAATAAAACTACCTTTCCAGTGACACGTCTTGAGATGTACGATGTGAAAATCGCTGCAGACTGCTGAATTTTGTTTTGACACCTATTTCAGATATGCTATTATGAACAACAGATCTTTCCCGTTCATTCAGATTGTCAAATTCATAAGTAAACATGTCATTTCTGTAAGAAACCTTATTCTAATGCAAAGACTGCAATTCTCCTCATCACTGCTATAGAATTTACAAAAATGAACGAGTGTGCTTGTCAAATTTGCTGTCAGTCTCTCAAATTATGTAAAAAATATTTTCGAACATAGTAATTCGATGATGGACAAGAAAGTGTTTGTGCAAATAGTGGATACATGGACTGCGGAAATGAAAATGGATAAGCCAACTTTGAGCAGACATAGTTTGAGATTGAGGTAGCAGTTAGCAGTGATGGTTGGAGCATTTCTGGGCAACGAGTTGGTGGCAGAAAGTAAGGCATCTTATTGGTGAACAAGAAATTATTTGCTAATTAAGAAGGTATTCAAGTTCAGACACCTGAGTAGACAACAGATGATGAGTCTTTAGATGGAAATGAGAAAAAGATGAACATGGAGAGATTGATCATCTTCAACATCGAATAATCGCAAGCTTTGTACACTTACTTGATATTTTTGAATCATAGTATTAGATGGCAAGTAAACTCGTTTCAAAATCTGTATTAAATTGACTGTAATTTGTAACTTTCTAAATATGAATGAAAACAAACGAAAACTTCTTACTAAAACAGTAGAGAAAAGAATGAATTGATAAGTACTACGGATGCATACACCACAAAGTAGAATATGTAATACTGACCACAGTAATGCTCTAAAAGCACAAACACTGTATACTTATAACAGGAACAAGTTGTTGACGGAGAGAAGCTTAAACTTAAATTACTATGTAGTATTCATGTTCACAACAGGAAAAAAAAGTAATGCGACGAATTCAAAGCATAAACAATTGACAATCATTGACAGATCCCACGAAATCTTTCAAATTATTCAATGAACATAATATGAACCTTACAAATGCTTGCTAACTACTTGCAGTTTCTCTCAAGCTACGTACTGCCTGACCATAAATGCTCCAAGAGAATTGCATGATTCTAATATCGATATGAATGTGATTTCCGAGTCAATGCCAAAACGATTGTTTGAAATCCTTGAAATACGTATTGCCAACTTATCTAACAATATATATTTTTTATGACCATTCGTTTCCATCACTGTTGCATGATATCTTTATTTATTTACAACCTATCAGTGTAATACATCCAAAGTTCCACATCAATATAGTTTTTAAAAACAGCTTAAAGTGAAAATATACCTCGGGAATCACATTCATACCCATAATAAAATCATACAATTGCTACGCAATAAAATTAAACAAAAAAACTGTACAAAACAGTATGAAAATTTTCAAATAATGATTATTAAAAGAATGAAAAGTAGCTACAATCAAAGTAGTAAAAAAGAAGACCGCGAAATATGAAATGTCAATAATTGTTTCAAAGATTCGTACTTCATCACACCTAAAAGAAATATACTCATACAAACGAATCAAATTCAATATCTATAGACTATTCAACCGACCAATTTTGCCAGCTAAACAACTTTAGTTGCTCTAGATCACACTCACTAAACAAGAGTATGGAACATATTAACCGCATGAAACATATATTAACCACCAAACACTTTCTATCTGGAAATTATTACTAAATTTGAGAAATTTTCTTAATCTGGCTTTCATTTCTAATTTTACAAGACATGATCCTTACAAAAAGACAAATGATTTCATTATACACGAACTTTACACGAATTACTAGATAACTGTTTGTAAAAGTCTATAGGTAAAAAGAATTGGTAAGTATTAAATAAATAAAGTACAAACAAAGTAACAATGAAACTACTACTTCAATTAGTGATATTCATCTTTCAAAATCCATAAATTGGAGTTTTTCTGTAAATTACACAAGTTCTTCAAAATGGATCGAAATGCCAACAAATCTTCCCGTAATACCCGATTCTGTAATATTTTTCTAGCTAAACCAAATACACTTCTGATATTTGAAAAAAGGCAATAGTAAACTTTTGATTTCAATCAAAATTACTTTAAAGCTCTGCAAAATTTCATCTGTTAACGCTTTCCCATTTCTTTGGATCATGAATAAACGTATAGCATCTGCCATTTCAACATGTTTTTTGAGAGACTTTGGAGCTGACGTTTCCAGTGAATCAAATAATGAAGGATAGTGCTGAAAGAGACATTTAAAATGTCTTTTTTGAGAATGAAGAGTGATTTTTTTTATATACATAAATTTTTTCGGATAGAAATAACTGAAATCACAACAATCTAGAAATAAACTTCTTCATTAAATCTCCCATTGTTGGTTCCTAATAACTCCAAATTTCGATCTTTCCGTCGGCGAATAGCATCTAATAAGCTTCCAGTATTATTTTTATCCGAATTTCGACTGAAATATGATACAATAGAATTTTATGGTCAACTGAACGACTTCTACTGATTCACAATAAATAGGTATAAGAAATTCCAAACTTACTTAGTTTAAGCAAATACAATAATTTTTGATCCCAAAAATAATGAATGCATTATGAAAATCAAATCTATACTTGAGCAGCGCAGCACCGCTGAAATTTGGCTCTTCCTCATTATCACTTTTAGATTCATTCTGTTGCTGATAACCACTGGCTTTTTTCAGACCAAATCTTTGTTTCTCAAAATTGTGTTTCGGCAAACACCTGAGAAAGGTAAATTTGGAGAAGAACATTAATTTGTCTAAAACTGCTTAATGGAAAAATTCAACTGGTTCTACCTTCTAGAACGTCTTATGAATGCTGCAGCACTTGCAGCAACAGCATTTGCTTGATCTTCAACCAACTGTTCATCCATAATACTTTCTGTGAAAATATGGTCATGCTGAAGGGCCGAGATCACACCTGCATTTGTTAATAACTTTTCCAGAACATAATCGTCCTGCAAACATTTTGTTTGTTCATGTTTGTATGATTAAAGCTACTGAGCATGATCTCTTACTGGAAACTTTTAACGAAAACGATGTTTTCAACAGTGACTTTATCATTCCATTTCTTCTTTAAAATCTGGGTCTTTCTAGAATACAAAAACATGCCTGCTTAGGATTTTCTTTATAACTTTCTTTGTAGCGTCGTCTCTTTTGCAAATACGGAATTTCAACATCGATATCAAAGCTTTTATCACTGCTTCTAACCTTCATCTTGTTACCACTCGTTTCGCTATCAGTGATTTTCATTCTTTTTTCGGCACTCTTACCAATCGACCTAAAACTTATGTTGAATCTATCTTCTAAAGTCAAATTAAAATTAAGATATGTAATATTTTAAAAATCGCATAAACAACAAACCTACTGATTTTTCGAGCTAGTTCTTTTAATTCAGCAATTTTTTCCGCTGACAAATTTTTATCAACAAGTGCTTTTGTTTCATCATCATCATCATCATCATCACACGTTACTTCCACTGGCAACCTTTTTCGTGCTCTTCGAAATTCTTTTCGCTTTCCTTCTCGGCTAATTGATTATTTAATAAATCCAAAGACAATCCCAAATAAATGATTCATATAAAACTTGATCTAATGCATGTTCAAATGTATCTTTTTTGCATATTATTGAAACCAAAATAAAGTCTCATCCAGAGAGACTTACTCTTTTTCATTTTTATCGAAAAAATTACGAGAACACGAAAAGGAATCACGCGTAATATTCTTTGTAGTACCGCTGAAGAGCGCTGCCGTTTCTGTGCCTTCCTTTCTCATTACTTTGTCATCACCTACAAAGTAACATCTGCTTTCAAGTGCAAAATAATATAAACTCTAAAACACATAACTAGTGCGCAAAGTAAAGAGTAAAATTTAAAATACGCAAATAAAGAGTACGCTAAATATAAAGTAACGATGGATTAATCTATAGCTACCCAAACAAAACAACTCGTGCAATTCATTCGTTTTGAAAAACCTTCTCTGTCTCGGATCAACTAGTACACGATTGGAGAGAAAAAGCTTGAAAACTTGCCTGCAAAAAATTAAAAGCTGAATTAAAATGCCAGCACAAATTTAGCTTTGTGGTTTTCGAATAAATTTAAAACTAAGCAAAAAGTATACCACACCTATGGTAGATTTTTTCTTCAATAGTACCACCCGTCAAAAATCTGTATATTGTAACATTCCGCTCTTGCCCAATCCGCCATGCACGCTCGCGTGCCTGCATATCAAATCAATTTTGTCATATCAAGAGTAATTTAATATAAAAATTTTTTGGAAACAAAAATCCCACTTGGATATCAACAGAAGGGTTCCAATCTGGGTCGAAAATAACTACGCGATTTGCACCTGTAAGATTTATTCCAAGCCCACCAACGCGCGTAGTTAATAAAAAAATGAACAGTTCACTTTTCTGAAAGTCAAAAACATGGTATTTACACTAAAAAACCAAAAATGATTTATAATTTTACTCCAGTAAAACTAAAGACTATTAAGAGAAGTATTTTTAATTTCAGAAAGTTATCATGATAATGAAACTGCAGCATAAGCAGAACAAACTGAAGAGCAAAATATGAATAGATGATAACAACCTTATTGAAATCATCAACAAGTCGTTGTCTTTTTTTGATTGGTGTTTTGCCATCCATTCTCAAATAGTCGTACCTAAAGAAGATATCAAGAGTTTTTAAAACAAGATAAAAATAGTTATTGGAATCCATAAAAATACTAACCCTTGCTTGATTATCATTTTTTCAAGTATTGTCAGCATCTGTCGGCTTTGAGAAAATAACAGAACTTTCTGGTCCTGTCGTTTCCACAACTTCAACAGAGTTTTAAGTACCTGGAAGATAAATTTATTACTGAATTACAAAATGCACATTAAAAAAATGTGAGTAATTTATGGTTACTTCCATTTTTCCGCTTCTGCAAGCTGCTCCAAATTCCATATCTTCATCAACCGTAACATCATAATCATCTAGAACAGTTATTAATAAATTAAGAGCATTTGATGACAAACTTGAATACTTTTAAGGTGTAAAGAAATATTTAGAGAAAGAGAAAAAGTATTTCACAGATAAAGAATTGAGGTAAGCTATGTTTCCTTACTAAATTTGTTAGGTCCACCAGTAATGAGATCAGGATGATTACATAATTTCCTTAATGTCATTAAACCAACAAAGGCATCCATTTTGCCAGACAAAATACGGCCACATTCTCGCGATGACAAATATTCTTCATAAAGTCTTCGCTGACATGGTGTTATATTACAGAAAAGGACCTGCAGTAAACGAGTCATGAGACACACAGTTTTATATTTCAAATAAAGTTTATATATTTTCTTAGAACTGAAAAATAATATTTAATAAAATCACAAACCTGTTCAGTTTTTGATGGTAAATTGATTGACATTTCGACATTCTTTTTCAAACGTCTGAGAAGGTACGGATTAATAGCATCTCTAAAAAAATAAATGTTACGTTGTTTTATTGCAAACTAGGGGAAAAAAAGGAAACACGGAAAATCTTTTTATCACTGTTGTGATGTTCTTGAAGGTAATCTAGAAATAGCATAGTGTTGGTTTTCTTCGCTACATCTGAACACACGAACATTACCTCAAAACACATGCACACTTATAGGCGGTACGAACTTGAACAGCAGTAGCATTAGCATATCCACCTTGAGTGATCGGAGTCGAAAATTTATCAACAAATGATTTCAAATCTCCTAATCGACCTGGATAAACAAAATCAACCAGAGACCTATAAAAAAGTTGAATGTGGAAACTCGACAGCCATTGGAATATTCTGGTCAGGTTTTCGGTGAATAGTTGATAAAGTTTCATCCATACTTCTTGAAATGGAAAACAAAACAAACACAATAACTTCTGAACATACCATAGTTCACGAAGAGAATTTTGTAGCGGTGAACCACTTAAAATTAATCTATGAGGAGTAGACATTTCTTTTACAGCAAGAGTTATCTGAAAATTTAATTAATAGCCGCATTAAAATGAAAGAATTGCAAAGCTTTGAAATTTCAAGTAAATAAATATACCATTTTATTAGTTTAATTCAAAGCAACAAAAAGATGAAAAGTTTATATGTTACACCAAATTACCTATTTTCAGAGAATGAAATGTTTTCAGATCACATATCAAGTAACTGAATATTGTTTTTTAGATGTTGTTTCCACATAAAAATGATTACAAAAACAATACATGAACAGCATTTAAAGGGAAATAATGAGTACGAAAATGAGGACAAAAGGAATTACCTTTGCGTCTGGATTCCTTATTTTATGACCTTCATCAAGAATAACATAATGCCATGTTTCATTCACCAACTGCTTACGATTTTTGATAAAAGTTCCATACGACGTTAACAAAACACTACCATCCCTTAGAAAGTTAAATATTAGCACATTTCAGGTCACATAAGCACAACAGTAACTAAGCTGCTGATAAATAAAATATGGACTTAAGGTCTTTATATTTCAAATGTTTTCTCTTGAAATTTCAAAAAACTACTTTCTTGGAACAACTATTTTTTGAATGAGCAGTCCACTTCGACCATGAAACGAACCACTATTATGTAACACTGCCACACGACAAAGAGGAAACCAAACACGAAATTCTTTCAACCACTGATATATCAATGTAGTTGGACAAATTATTAGTACTGGACCAAGACCACGAAAGCTCAAAATAAATATTTATAAAAAAGTAAAAGAAAATATCACACGATAGTGATGATAGTGATTAGGATCTAAATGAAAATACCGAAATCCCCGATTTTCTAAGTCAGAAAACGAGATTGCTCTCAGAAAAGAAATGACTTGGATTGTTTTTCCCAATCCCATTTCATCAGCTAATATACCACCAACACACTGGTTATGCAATTCGCTCAACCACCTTACGCCTGTTTTTTGATATCTGTAACAATTATTTAGATTTTAAACTACGCAAAGTGAACTTTAAAGGATGCTACTTCGAAAAGAATGAATTTCTACACTGATCATATTTCTAGCAAGTACTTATAAGTCATCATCCAAAATTTTTATTCTTTAACCATAACAGTTTAGCTTTTCACTATAAACTGTAATTTGCTAATCTTAAATCACTACGAATGTGTTTAAGAGCAATGAAAAAAATGCTGCATCTCTTCCAATAATTCTAAGAGACAGATAAAACAAACTTGTACAATTTTTTCCAACAATCATTGGGAACTTTTACATCATGTTTCAATTCACGGAAATTATTATCTTCTTTCGATTTGTTTTCTTCTTCAATCTTTTGAAGCTCAAGTAGCGCAAAATGCTGCCTGAATTCAAGAACTATAAATAATGCAAACATTAAATACCAAATATGCATCAACCATTATCAAAAAACTGAAAGATATAATTTCAAGAAACATTGCTTTAAGAGTAGCAGTAAAAAAATAAAATGATTTAATTTTGTTCCATACTCTATAAACTATTTTACTCATACCGTATCCTTCGAATGAAATAACAATCATCCGCATCATCTTGATCTCTTTCATCAATTTTAGTTTTCTTAGCATTTTTTTGAGGATGTTTTTTCTTATCCCTCGATTCATCTGCAGAGGACATGCACTCATCATGCTCGCTTTCACTATTACTGCTTTCCGCAGAGAATTTTTCGCTAGGGAGAAAATTCGACAATTCTATATTTTCATTTAACCTGTTCACCTAAGAAGATTTATATATAGCAGAGAAATGAGCGTGAAAGCTAGATTTGTATATTATCTTTAAATTACAAAAAAACTAGAACTAGAAAACTCTAAAATATTAAGGTATCAAATTATTGCAAGAAACAATTCTGAAAAAAATTCAATTTTACTTCTTGTTTGCTGGCAATATCTGACTTATTCCAAATAACTTCAGAGACATCATGTTTCGTTCTATCAAGCACTTCAAAAGGTGTCATATCACCAAAATCCACAAATGAAGACTGGGCATTTTCAATTATAATATTCTGCAGTTGACCTGAATCTTCTTGTTGTAGCGGCAATTCTGACCTAGCTATGTGTTCCGTAAATGATTTTCCAACCTGATAATGAAAACAAATAAACATAAGAAAAAAAGAGAAAAACTTGACTTTAGCGTATGAAAATTGACAAATAACAATAACAATCTGACAATAAAGTGAATGACTGCTGAGGACACGAAAAAGAACCCATTAATTTTATGATATTCAAATGAATAAAGAATCCTTTATGATAAATCCCCGAATAACACTTAAGTTCTTTTCCATCGGAACTAAATTTTCGACATTACAAACTTTACTGAAATTTAAATACGATGTGGCTTTTTAATATACTTTGACAAATCTTTTATATAAGTTGCAATCTTTTGAAATGTACTACACGACTATGATATAGATACTTGATACTCATGCGAAAAAAAAAAACTAAAGTCTCAACTGATGACCTTGATTTATACCTCTATACTTTGTTTTTAACCATTTTAAAGTGATATAAAAACCGTATACTTGTTCCAAGATATTATATTCAAGAGCAGCAGCATCATACACAGCAACGTTCCCTCCAGCAAAAACAGCAATACCCTCCACTTTTTCCAAGTTTTTCTGATCTTCTATTTCTTGATTTTGTACCACTTCTTTATTCTGACTTTCAATAACGTAACTTCGCTGAGAGTTTGCATTTCCTTCGAGTATTTCACTTTCAGTGTCGGCAGTCCTACAGCTAGTATCCATCTTCACTATAAACAGCATAATATCAAATCTAAATGATGTGAATTTTTTTAATTAAGAAATTCTATTTTGACTAACTTCGAAAATTTCATAAAACTTTTATTTACATTTAATGGATAAATCAATTATCCAATTGATTTAAAGGATAAATCAATAGATAATATAAAACCACATATTACTTGAAATAATTAATTTTCCTACATTGCACTATTACATTGTTTTATCTTATACGAACTCGTATGGAATAAAATTATAAGTAATTTAGCAGTTTATGCTTACTCACACGCTTTTCAATACCCAATTTATTTGTCGTACTTAAGTTAATTGTTTTTTGCTAATTTGTCCGTAAACGTTTTACAGATTTTTTACAATTTTATTTCAAAATTCTGCAGACTTTTCACTTAAAATGAAGTATGACTGTACAGTTTATTCACGAAGTCAAAAGCGAATCTTAGCTCTATTTATTTTCAAATTACTATTTTAGACGCGCATTTCCTTATCTAAGGTAACCGATGGCATAACGAATAAAAACCTGCTACTACAGGCTATGGTGTTACTTTGCGATAGTTTATAGAGTATTGTCATATTATTGAGGATACTTCTGCTAATTAGGGGGTATATCAACTTACCTTGTTATTGACATAACTATTAAATTTTTAGGATGGCTTCATCTTTACGAAATCTTGATGACTATATGAAGAATTTGGATGCTTTACTTGCTGAAGAAAACTGGCAGTCGTGTGAAAAAGCAGCAAAATTACTTTCAGTGCGTGATAGTCACGTTCAGATGAAGTTTTTGCAGGTATAAAAGGCTGCATTGTGTTTTTAAAAGTTGGAGATCACAAGCAGCTTTTAAATCTTTTGAAATGAATATTTTTTGTTCCGAAATTTTTGTACTATAAATGTTTAGCATAGAGATTTGTTTTTTAAATCACTTATTTCCTGCTGTTCTTGTACACGAAAATTAAGCTTTACACACGAGAGCAGTTTTTTTAAAACTAATTATTTCTACTGTGAAGTTTCAAGTGGTATATAAAATGGTTTTGCGATCTGTTAACTTTGATTTTTATTACAGTATCTTAGATAAAACGAGCAAAGTCGTCTTTATTGATCAAAATATAGAATTATCAACTTTAACATATTCGAAGTAGTTCAAAAGTTTCGATTTCTGATGTTGTTCAGTTATGCAGGTCATAAACTAGCTTTTGTTATTCACAGGTTGAGAATGCAGAAGAGATACAACGTTTATATTTGAACAGTGCTTTTGATGAAGTAGCTTGCTTACATTTAGCTGTTATCTACCATTTAAGTAAAGATCATTACGAAAATGCTTTCAATACACATGTTCAGGTTTGATTTAACTTGTTTATAATTCTTCGAAATTAACGTTTTGTTTGCAAAACAATCTGTATTATTTTTAATCCTGAATATCATTAAAAATATTTATGTGATTCATCGATCAAAAAATTTAAATTTTTATATCTCATACATTGTGTTAAAATAATTTCAAGTATTTTGTATACAAATCATGATATTATGATATAATTCTTTATTAAATCTCCAGGCTGTGCAATTGTTTAATAAAGAAATCTTACAAAAAGAAAAGGATCAGAATTGGTTTTTGCCAGTATTGTACATTCTTTGTACAGATCTGCGACTTCTGGCTCGTTCGGTATTTTCTTTGTATGCATTTCACATAGAAAGAAAATGATTTTTAGTAAACTTATCTTTCATATTTGTATTTGTTACAGGCGGATAATAAGCCGTCACGTTTACGAGATCCTGAAAAAAGTAGTTACTATGAGCAGTCTGCCACTTACATCATGGAATGTTACAGAACATGTGTGGCTGATGTGTGAGTAATTTATCTTATCAGCTACTGGAAAAATGTTGCATTCTAGAATTGATTCCACATTAATTAAACTTAAGGCAGCATTGTGAACATTCGATTTTATTGAAATTTATTTTTTATGTCATGCAATTAAAGCTTTGAATTCCTTTCTGAAACTGTCTTCTCAGAGAAATTTCATAATTTAAGTTGCTTTCAGTCGCGCAGAAATTTATTCATCAAAAAAAATCGCAATGCTTAATCTTACCAATCAATTATTTCGTATTTACTTCAGGGTATATTTCAAATTATTTCCTGTTAGGGGCATCTCATAGTCCTGTATAGTCTCTTCATTCATTCAGTGTTTTATTTTCTAATAGTTTCGTGGTAAATTGCTTTATTTTCGACATAATTATGCAGTCTTTATATCAGCTCAGTTTTTTAAATAAAAATAGGGTTTTATTTTTTTACGCTTTCAGATAAATAAGTTGAATCTGCTGAAACCACTTATTAGAGCAATAGACAATAGTGGACCACTTTATCAGAAATTTTCAATGGCTGACAAAGTTACTTATAAATATTATTTGGGACGGAAAGCAATGTTTGATTCCGACTTGTCACTATGTATATTTTCTTTTTATTTCAAATTTTAAATATGTGTTCATAAAAAATCGAGGGCTCTGAAACTTTAGTTTAAAAAAATATTTGTGAATAATATATAAAAATTAAGTTGTAGACTTCTCACCACTGTTGATTTAAAATACGGATTTCAAATTAGCCTTTTTCGCATTTTTCATGTATAATTCTAGCTGAACGATCGCTTTCTTATGCGTTTCGTCATTGCCCTTCGTATTGTGAGAGGAATAAGCGTCTCATACTAATATATTTGGTTCCAGTCAAAATGTTTCTTGGGCATATGCCAAGTTCTGATTTATTAAAGCGATATCAATTACAGCAGTTCGTTGCAGTTGTTGATAGTGTTAAGTACGTTTTACCATAACATATAAATTTATTGATGATAAATGCAGACCAAAGGATTAAATATACTTGGTCATTGAATTTTATTATTGTATTTTTTGATGATGGTTTGTTTAAGAGACGGAAATTTGAAAAAGCTTGATGAAACATTGATGGAAAATGAGAGGTTTTTTGTGGAATGTGGGATATTTCTAATGTTGGAGAAATTAAAGATTATTGCTTTTCGAAATTTATTCAAAAAAATGTAAGTTTTTTCTTCTAATTTATTCACCACATTTACATCTTTTTCTGTACCAGCGAAATGTAAGAGAATTGTGTTATCATCAAAATAAGTGAAGCTTGTTAAAAATCACTCAAAATAATAGGAACTTCTTATGTTAACTGAACATTTTTCTTTATCGAATTTGTTATATGTAAGAAATGTTGATAAAGAAAGTATCACTGTTATCATTATCAGCATTTTCATATGCATAATAATCAGTTTATTGATAGTAATAGTACATGATAATGTCAATGCAGAATTAGGAAAAATGTAGCTTAAAATGTTAAAGTTTATTGTGATTTTATAGAACTCGAATATATGGTTCAAATCAAATTCCATATGATGCATTTATGTGTGCTGTTCGATGGCTTGGAATTGAGGATATGTTCGAAGACGAACTGGAATGTATACTTGCAAATCTAATTGTTGAAGTAAATCTACTCGAAAATTCTAATTTTTTAGTCAATGTAATTCTCAGTTGTGATCGAATTTTGCCTAATTTTTATTTGATACTTTTCAGAGGAAAATCAAAGGATATCTCAGTCATGTGCATAAAAAATTAGTAATAAGCAAACAAAACCCATTCCCAGCTTTGTCGACGGTATCGTAGCAAGTTGCTGAAAGTGAATTTAAAATATTTTTTTGCAGTTTATATCTCAGGTAATATTCTCGAAAAGAAAAATTTAATGCTTCTTTTAAGTCCTAATGATTATTGGTTATACAGTGAATTTATTATGCAGCTGCGGATCTATGTTACAGCTAAAATTATGTTTGTGGAATGAATTTATTGTACAGATATAAATACATCTTGAATTTCTGATTTTTGATGTGAATAATATATTACCTAATTGTTGATTGTTTATTAGATTTAATCTTTCATTCCGTCATATTTTAGAAGTATTAAAATTTGATTTTTCATTATATCATATTTTAGTAGTTTTTCCCGTATATATTAAGTATAGAGCAAGTAGTATTTTGCAATATATTTAAATTTTTTATTGTATTTTCAAAATTCGATGCATTTCTAGTAGTTGATTTGAAGATATAATCTGATTTGTTTTGATATGCACGAAAAATATTCATACAAAGGTAATTGATTTTCATGTTGTTATCTGCTTATTATTTATTAGTTGTAAACTTTGCAAGCTGTTTTCAACATTTACTGTAATTAGCGGTCATCATATATTCATATCACATCTGTTTATATATTTGAAACCTTTTGGGTTTCTATACGAAAGATTATCAAGGAAATAAATTAAGATTAGTTTGTACTATCATGTTTAAGAAGTTCATCTAGAGGTCTTCCTCACTTTTTAAAGTACATTAGAAAGATATGTATCATACTGATTGTTTCAGTGTTTATTGTATGAGTTTTGCTTTAGGTAACTCTTCACATCGATACGTCAAAGAACTTTTTGTAATGGAAGTTTTTACTTTCTATTCTTGTGATTTTATCACACCAAAATCTTGTCTTTGTAATAAATGCAGCTAGATCTTGAATAATGTGAGTTAGTTTATTAGACCTTGATATTTATATTTGATTGACACTGTAAGGTATTTTTACAGATGGCATCTGCATCAAATATGTGGCAAGTTAGTGGGAGCAAAAATTCATCAGTGAATAAAGTCAGATTGACTGGTGGTGACACTTTTGCTGTTTGTGCTACCAGTGGTAAACGTGGGGATCTGTACTTTGGAGTGATTGGTAATAAGGAATTGAAGGTGCTGGATACGCGATCAAGCTGTATCGTTGGACTGGACTGTTATGGAAGTTTCGGAGGTATTTTTGATGCATTTTTTGATCTAACTTGCTATTTATTATATGTCCTATTCCTTATTGATATTTGTATCAGAGACAGATATTTTTAGATTTAATTTGCGTGGATCAATTAGGTCATGTTTTGCAATATGATATTCGAAGGAGTAACCGTAGGGCATGTATCACTCCTAATGAGTATGGATTACCAAAAGGAAGTAAGATTACTGCTACTGCTATGAATAGTGATGGATATCGTCTCGCTATTGCATCACTACCAAAATCTTTGGCGAATTGTAGAAAGCGGTCCGGACAATTGAATAAGAATTCAACAAATTACGATGATGATTCCGACGTACATTTTTAGCATTTTAGTATTGATAGTGAAATATGTCTCTTCTTGAATATACATATTTCAGAAGTTTTTGTTTGCAGTACTCTTCTTCAGTAATACTATTGGATATACGAAAAATGAATGAAATCATGCATTCCTATTCAGATTTTCATAGTGATGCAATTCAGGTAAATCTTTTAATGTTTCTTTATGTTTTTTTGCTTGTATAATTTTCGTTTGAAAATTGTTTCATCATGTTCATTATTGATTTTATTCAGGCGTTGCAATTCAGTTTTGACAATCCTAATATGTTGTTAAGTGGAGGTGCTGATGGTCTGGTCAACCTCATTAATTGCTCTGAAGCAAATGAAGAGGATGCGTTGAAGTGGACACAGTCTGTATGTCTTGATCTTGTATATTCTATTTAAAAAAGCGCCTTCGCTCTAATGAAGAATTTGTAAATTCTTTCTTTATTGTTTGTGTCAGCTATCAATATGTTGAAGTTATTCAGTCAGGAGTAGGTGAACTGACAAAAAATATGATTTCGAAAAAATTTTGAAGTCAGCAATAAAGAACTTAGGTCACCTCGTCAATTGATTGTGTCGGTTTTCTCACTGGTAATCGTGCTTATGCTACTACAGACGACAGCAGTTATGCAGTATTCACAGTGGATGATAACAATAATATTATTTGCAGGTATACTGCTATTGAATGTAATTCATAAAATATTTTTCTACATTGTTGGAAATTGAACATGTCTTAGAAAATTCGATTTGATTTCTTTGATAACTGCGTTGGATGCTGTTAAAACCAGAAAATTTATCCTGAATATGTTTTGGCATTTTTCTCGACCTTTTTTTTCTGTGAAATAATGAATAACATTCGAGAATTTATTCTAGATCTAAAAGTCGACATTTCCTGGTCGATTTGCTTGATAATTCGTGCACGGATTCATTTCTTTATCTTGCATGCAGCAGCGAAGGAAAGGCTTCAATTTACTCTGTTTTTAGTAATGGTAAAAAGGTAGTGTCTTTTTGATATGATTTAATTGTTATTTGAAAAACTCCAGAATTTTAGTTAGCGTTTATATTTGAATCCTCAGTACTAACAGGATTATCCTGCTTTCGAATTTGTTCCCTTTTGGATTAGTGTTATAAAATTATGGTTTAATGAGTTTTAGACCTCATTAGCTGATTTGTTTGATGACCACAAGGACCTTATTCGTTGTTGTTGTTATGACCGATCACAAAACATATTATTAACCGGTGGTGATGATGGACAAATTATTTGTAAACATTTGCGGCAGTCACTGTCAAAATCGAATTATTCTGCAGTACGTGTTATGAAAAGCAAAAGACAGAATAGGCAGAAGCCGTACTAGTCTTATAAATTTATAGTTTTCATGTTCCACAAAATAGCAGAAACTATGTCTCGAAAATCTGACAAGATTTTTCATGGCCATTCAAAGTTTCATCATGACGAGAAGTTATCCAGATAACAAATTTCCGCATTATATTTGCAGAAGGTCGTACTTCATGCATTTCGATATATTTATGATAGCAGAAACATCATTTTAGACAGTTGTATATACTTACTGTTCGTGTGAATATACTTGGTAATTTCAAATATTCATGTCTGCGGCTCATATGTTTTGTCTTATTAAGCGAATACCATATATGTTATTTCAAATTCTATCGCGATTTGTTCGAGTTTAATTATTG